AAGCACCATTCAAAACATAACTCAGACTACAGCTAAAAGCACCTGATATTCTCTGATAAAGCAGAGTGGGAACAACTGCACTGGTTCAGTGCTTGGAAAAGACTCTGAACAAAGTGCTGTATGGGATAAGAGCAAGACTGTTTCATCCTCCATCTTGTCCTGGACCCTCTCTTCTTGGATGCAGAACCTATTTTTGAAGAATTATCAGCCTGGAGACAAAGTGTGAAGACGTCGCTATTCTGTGGGTTATCATGATGAATCTTTGAATGGTGGAATGAATGGGTAATTCCGCTTTCCTCACATTAATTGAAATAAGAATTTATTGTGAAGTGTATTTCTCTCCAGTCCTCACCACCTACCATGGGAATTACTGTCTATAGGGCATGCTTCCATCACAAGCTGTGATTATTGGTAGAGTTGCTGTGCAGTTCTGCCATTGTGCTTGGGATTGCACCTTGTGTTGGAAGGTCCTTGTCAGGTCTACTTATTTGTAATTACTATTTTGCATCTAGTGGATGCGAAATTTCTCTCTGTAACAACTAGATTATACCTTCCTGTCTTTGTTCAGATGCTTTTGTAGAAGGACCTTAATCTCAAGTACTTTAAGGTCAGAAGTAAGTGCTGTTCAGGATTATGTTTTCAGATATATAAATCTTTATTTTTTTTAATATAGTCATGTTTGACTCTGTTGCCAAGTGAGGCAAATATTATTTATTATGAAACTTATCAGATAGTCACTGAGAACTAGTTATTTGTTACCTTACCTTTAGTTGTATAAATTTCTCACTTTACACTGATCTTCTGCAGTTCATGCTGAGAAATTAAGTAAAGAGATACTCTTGTATCTCTCCGTGTCAAAAGACCTTAGGAGGCACTGATATTGCCCTTTTTAGAAACTTGACCCTTCGTTTTTCTTAATTGCAGGCACTTCATTTGGCACAACAGCTGCCAAAACAACTAAATATTTTGGAGATTACATACATCTAATTAGAAAATAGGCTACATGTCTACAGAATGAAATTTTATTCTATTAGTCATTAGAGTAGCAATTTGTTTCCTTAGTCAATAAAGAGACTGGATTTTATTTTGTGAAGATGTTTACATTTTGTTCTTATGTTGATAGTTTTATTTTCTGTGTTAGTTTTAGTTCAGCTGCGGAAGAAGTGTGAATTCTGTTCTTCACAAAGAGGAAGATTCATTCAGCCATTTAGAACAGCCATAGCTCAAAATTTTACTCATATTTGGTCTATGCGTTTCATTTCTTTTTTGATAGCTCCTCCCCTTTCTTCTTCCTTTCCTCAGCTATGCTATCTGTCTTGAAATGAAGCTGTTGTAGTGATTATATTAAATGACAGAGTGGATTTATATAAGATGAAATAGCAGGCTGAGTCGATATTTGTTTTCACTTTGACCTGAATTAGCTTTTGAACCTAGACCAATTGTACCACCTACATTCTTTAGCAGCATCTAAATAGTATTGGCAGTTCTGTGCTGTTGTAACTGCAAACTTTTGGATAAAACATAAAACAAAGATCCTTTTCCCTATTTATGTGTTATCTGTATAATTTTTAAGAGTTAGGTTGTATTTTTATCAGGAGTAAAATATAGTAGATCAATTTTCTGACCAAATATATAGCAGTTACTTGCTGCTTTCCTACTTGTATCCCCATTTCAGACCTATTTGGATGTGGAATCCCTCTTCAGATTATATAAATTACTATTTAGTGTTATTATGTACGCTTAAATTATATTGTGTATATTATTATATACTGTACATTTTTAAAAAATCATATTTTACCATTATCAAAATCAAATTTACGTGCTGTAGGTGTCCCTGCTGGAGCAGAGGGGTTGGACTAGATGATCTCTAGAGGTCTCTTTCAACCTTAAGCGTTCTGTGATTCTGTGATTACCACTAAGATGATAGTGGAGATCGCTGTGATCAGTGTGTGTTCACAATACTTTCTATTTATGTTTAGATTTCTTAAATGTCTAAATAATCTGTATAATGACACATGAGATGCAGTGACCAGGGTGTTATAGTGAGTGTCAGCGGGTATGGTTGAGATCCTATCATGGTACCTGCTGTTACTGTTTCCAGGAGCTGATAGCTATGAAAGATATTTTTCTCTCCTGTGTTGGGGTTTAGCCCTCCAATCGTTCAGGTCAGTATAAATCTTTCACTATGAAGTTACAAACTGAAAAAAAATGTTTGACCTTCCAAAAAGGGTACTTGACATATTTTGGCATTACTATACTTTTAAATATTGCTATGAATATTCTCTGTATATTTGAAGTGGGCAGTTTTAGTTTAACAGAGAAATACACTTATGCACTCTAACTATATTGAAAATGTCATATTTTACATCAAAATTAGAGTGGAGAAGTACAGCTTTTTTGCTTCTTGGCAAATGTATGTATGATGTGGCCAATGCTTTGCTAAAAGCTTTAGTGAAGCCATCAAATAACCTAGCATCATCAGGGAAAGACCACAGGAGATCAGGTAGTCCATTTCCCTTTTCCACTTATAGGTCAGCAGTAATTATATTAAATTAGATAAATGCTGTCAAAGATAATGTTAGAGATTTGCAGCTTCACCTACCAGTATATTCCAATGATTCATTGTCTTTGCTGTTCTGTATTTTTGCCTAATATCTCTCCTGATTCAATCTTTTCCTGGAGTCAGGAAGAGGTGTCCCAGATACATGCACAAGTAGATTATGTCTGAGAAATGATAATACTAGGCAGGAATCATCATGCATGTTTTGCAAAATTGGTCTGTTAACTCATTTATATTCTCTTTTTTTTTAGAAGATGAAGTTGTAAATTTAGCATAAAATCCAGATTGGTAAAGAGATGTCTGACATACTGATAATGCTTTTCATCTTGAATTTATAGATCATTCTTCAGCTTAGATTTCATGTGTTCATTATGATAGAAGACGAAGAAAATAGCTAAAATTCAGCCTTATGTAATTCTGTTGCCAAGAGTGAAGTGGATAAATGCATTTCTTTTCTAATTTTTATTTTTCAGTTTGTATTTTATCTGAAATATCTGAGTATGTGAAATTACAGTAAAGAGTGATCAGTTATTTAAAAAAAAGTATGTGTTAGAGATCAATAGCCAGAGAGAGAACCTGAGAGAGAATTTTCCCCATCATGCAATCACATATTAATCATTCTTAATTTTTAGTGAAAAATGGGAATTAAACAGTATTCTGCAGAAAAATCTCAAAACGCCAATGTGGGGACCTGGATCAGTCCCTCCCAGATTGTCCTATTCTGCTATATGTATGTATTATGTCTTGTCTTATGTTTCTAATTGCATCAGCAGTTTCCCTAAGACTTTGCTACACTAGAGATAGCTATAACTTATATTTACTTGTATGCTATTCAGTTTTCATCTAATGAACAAAAGTTGGATTAAATAAAGTTCAGTTCATATTTTAAGACAAGATATTTCCCAACCACCAGAAAATCATTTTTCTCTATCTTTGGACAGCTGTGTCTTCTGACACTTTCTAGTAAGGACTGTTACCTGCCTCTCAAACCAAAGTCTGAGGTGTTATGTTTCTCAACTTGCATGCATTACTCTGTAACTTTTAATCAAATTTAGTTTTGCTCTCTTAATGGAATATGGAATATCATCAATAATATGTAATCCATAAAACTCACATGTAGAATAAAGCCTTCCTGCTCTGATTAATACTTGTAAATTCTCAATATTGGTGGAAGAGAGGCATGCATCATGTTTTTGACCACTTAACCCTTCGTAAATTAAATATGTATTGTCAGCATTTTGGCATAGTTGCAAAGACGTATTTCCATAGAAGTCTTAATGATATCGTAAATGCACATAGAACAATAAAATATAGTAGAATTTCATGAAATGCGAGGCAACAAAAACAAAGGAACATTGAAATGTGATAACACTATTTGAAATTTTGAGCATTATATAGTGTTTTCAATACCAACTAAACAAAATATATACATTTATGAATTAATACCATATGATCATGAACAAAGTCTTAGTATTTTGGCTTAGGACAGTTGTTTTGAAAACAAGGTTATTTTAAGGTTTGCTTTTTAAATAGCATTGTGCCATGGTACTTTTATTATCTGTCTCATTACACGTCTGTATTTACATGTAGTTTGCTAAGGAATCTTCATTTGCAGTTTGCTAAGTTGTGTATGGTATTGTCAGGGATTTAAAAGAATTTTTAGATCCTATAGCTTGACATTAGGTTTTGTGTTTGTATTTTATTTTTTGTAGCTTCTATTACTTTCTGAATAAAATAGAGAGGATTCACTAATCTTCCATGGATTACTGCCACAATGAACTAAAACTGAATGCAAATTAGCAAAATAAATTATATTGTATGATTTAATTATAAACTGCACTTGCTTAATATTCTGTTATATACAAATGCTTTTTTTTAGTTATTTCTGCAAATTGATAAGGACAAATGTATCTTACTAGAACTTGTTTTCCTGTAACATCTTTGCAGGTGCATCACTTCCTGTTTAAAATAGTTTTCATTGTGTCCCAATACTTTTATACTAAATCAAATGCAACT